ATGATTTACTGACATAATAAATTGGAGACTGTTTACCTTGGTCTTCACGAACTAAAACAGCACTTACCGCTACTTCTGAGACGGCAAGATAGATGAGAAATCTTTCTCCAACCTTCGGTTTTTCAAGCAACGACGGGTTTGACAGGTATGTTTTCAAAATTTTTAGTGCCTGTTGACACTCCTCTGTCCATTCAAACTGATCTTGTTTTTTGAGGGCAGAAAAGAATTTAAAGCATTTTTCGGATGATTTGGAAATAAATCTCCCCAAGGCTGCAATTCTCCCCGTCAACCTCTGTACCTCTTTTTTACTTATAAGCATGTCAGGGATTTCCTCAATGGCTTTAATCTGTGCGGGATTCACTTCAATACCACAGTTAGAAACAAGAAAGCCTAAAAACTTACCTGATGCAACACCAAATGCACATTTCTCAGGATTTAGTTTCATATTAAATTTCTGCAAGATCTGAAATGTTTCTGACAAGTGTGATATATGGTCCCCTGAATGTTGACTTTTGACGAGCATATCGTCTATATAGACCTCCATAGTTTTTCCCAGATGATCTTGAAACATTTTGGTCACCAATCTTTGATATGTTGCACCAGCATTTTTGAGACCAAAAGGCATTACTTTATAACAGTAAGACCCCCTGTCTGTTATAAATGCAGTTTTTTCTTCATCTATGGGATCCATTTTGATTTGGTTGTATCCTGAGTATAGATCTAAAAAACTTAACAACTCATGTCCTGCAGTAGCATCAATTAGTTGATCTATATGTGGTAATGAAAAAGAATCTTTAGGACAAGCTTTATTAAGATCTGTGTAATCTACACAAACTCGCCATTTACCGTTCTTTTTAGGTACCACAACAGTGTTAGCTAACCAATTAGGATACTTTACCTCACGGATAGACCCAATGTTTAATAATTTTTGGACCTCATCTTGAATCACCTGATTTTTGAAAGTTCCTTGCTTTCTCTTCTTTTGTTTGATAGGTGGATAAGACGGGTCTTCATTTAATTTGTGAGTAATTACCTCCGGTGGTATACCTGTCATATCAGAATGGGACCAAGCAAAACAATCCGCGTTAGCTTTTAAAAATTCAATCAACTTACGTTTCATGTTTTGGCTGAGATTGGCCTCTATGTAGATTTTCCTTTCAGGCCATTGTACAAATAATACTACAGCCTCCAGCTCTTCAATCGTTGTTTTGATATTTTCGTTTTCTTCTGGTTCTTCAATGGAATCGGGCCTTGAATCTACATCTGTTCGCCCTTGTTCAGTTGAGGTTTGCGTTGTGGTATCCTCAACTAAATTCTGTAATTGCTATTTTTCTTCATTTCTCGTACTTGAATCTGCTACGGAGTTGATGCTCCTGGATGTCTGTTGATCTCCACGGATTTGACATATTCCCCATGGTGATGGAAATTTAATGACTTGATGTAAGGTCGATGGAACAACATCCATCTCGTGGATCCATGGCCTCCCTAGAATTATGTTGTAAGCCATTTTCAGCTCCACTACCTGAAACTTCGTATCTTTGACAACTCCTTCTGCGAATGTAGTAAGTATTACTTCCCCTTTCGTCACAACGCTGGAATTGTCAAATCCAGACAAAGTATGTGCTTTTTGTACTAATTTGTCCTCATCTTGCATCTCATGTAGTACTCTTAGTAGGATAATGTTCACGGAACTACCTGGATCAATCAAAACTTGTTTCACATTAGTGTCATGTATAAGTAAAGATATTACCAGTGTGTCGTTATGTGGAGTTAATACGCCACCCGCATCATCAAACGTAATGCTTTCTTCCTCTAAGACATGTCGCACCCGCTTCTCGTGGGTAATTGTGACTTTGGAAACTTTATTGGATGCTGTGTACGTCACACCATTGATTTCTTCCCCTCCGCGTATAACATTGACGGTTCTTTTGGGAGAAGGCGGTTTTGGAGGCTCCTGCCTATTTTTCATTTATGCTTGCTTACCTTTCTCACTGAATAATTCGGTGAGATACCCTTGCTTCAATAGATGATCAACCTCTCCTTGTAGCAACCTACAATCTGCCGTTTTATGACCATGATCATTGTGAAATTCGCACCAATGATCGCGATTTGCGCCTGTTTGGATTTGATCTCATTTCTTTTGGCCACCGCACCTTGTCACCCATGCTTCTTAAAACAGCCACGAGCTCAGAAGTGCTTACATTAAAATTAAAACCGCCAAACCGTGCTTTCAAATTTCTATCATCATCGCGTGACTCTCGTGTGTTACGATCATTTCCATACCTCGATGATGAGCCCGATTCTCTATTTCTAGCTCTATGATCGTACCTTGAATGATCATGCTTTGACCGTGAATCTTTTCCAACAGGGCCCATATATGGTTCGTACCTGTTTTTACTGGACCTTTTTCTGTTTCCGCCCGTCTTGAACTTACCTTTTCTTCTTTTTGAGATCGTGAGATAATATCTTCTTCGATCCTTCACTTCGTGCTATACCTGTTGTAAACGTCATTCCATGTCGTTGCTAGGAATTCACGAAGACTTTCCTTGAGTCGCCTCGTGGCTTCTGAGCTTTGCTCATTCAAATTACTAGTGAAAGCTATAGCTGCCCAATTATCTGGTACACGTGGTAACGTCATTCTCTCACGCTGGAAACTATCCACGAACTCTCTGAGTAACTCGGAGTCCCCTTGTTTGATTTTGAAAATATCCTTCATTCTCTTTTCGACTTTTTGAGCCCCCCAATGTGCTTTGATAAATGAATCTGCAAGCTCAGCAAAAATTTATGGAATTTTTGGGTAAAAGAGAATACCATGTTAATGCTCCCTTAGTGAGTGTTTCACCGAATTTTTTGACCAATATTGATTCAATTTCTTGTTTTGTCAAATCGTTGCCTTTTACGCCAGTTGTGAATGCAGTCACGTGGTCTCGTGGATCAGTTGTTCCATCGTATTTTGGAATATCGGGCATTTTGAATTTCTTTGGAATCGGTAGAGGAGCAGCGCTTGGCTTCCAAGGTTGCTGTGAATATTTATCCATATATATTCCTTTGATTACAGGCGGTACTCCAGGTATTTGCTCTATGCGGTCACTTTGCTCCTTGAGCTGTTTCTGCAACGTTAAAACTAAATTTTGTATATCGGAATTGACTAAGTTACCTGGTTCTCCATCTCGTTAAGCACTGGGATTCCGCCACTGCCTGAATTAACAAGCCCAAAACGAGGGTTCTCCAAAGTGTTGGTATTTAGAATTGGTGTTGATGGTGCAACAGGTAACTGGCTGGCAAAGGCCTCAAGAGCTTTATTGACTTGTTGAGCGATCAGCTTCTGCAAAGCTTCATTGATAGCTTCATCGTTGTCAAATTGAGCATTTGCGTTTTAGTGAGATCCATCAGGAGTTCCTTCTCGAAACCGCCGAGGCGAGCTTTGTGGAGAAGGAATCGGAGTGTGAACATCTTGTGGGTCCCCTTGGAGTTGATGGTTTCCTTGGTTTCCTTGGGTGTTATTGTTAACATTTGACATGATTGTTGATGTAAAGAAATAGGTTAGGTTAAGAAGGAATAGATTATCAGATTCCCGGTAACGGAACCAATTTGTTTAACCAAAAAATAGAATTTCAGTCAAAGCTTTATTTTTAGAAGAACTCGGGTTACTCATAATCGAAAATGAATAAAAGAAATTGATTTTGATAACAAATAGATAGCAGAAAACAAAGTAATCCAATGTATTCAGTTGATTTTTTGGTGTCCTTACAAATGATCAATCTTCTCCCTTTTATAGCTATTTTTAAGTTATACGTTTTGCCTTTGTCATAATAAGGTTATTATGGACGATTAAAGGCATTAAATGCTACGTTACATAATCATTGTAATTTAATACAGATTCTCTAACGTTTTCAGTGTTTAATGCTTATTAAATACTGTATTTGGGCTCTCTTGTGCTGTCAGGTTCATTCTTCTCAGCTTTTAGACTTAAATAGGTGCGAGCATCGAGTCTTTTGAATATTTGCTCGTGCTTCTTCTTGTGCTTCCGCTCGTATCTGTTGCAACTCGTGCCTCTTTGCTAATCATCATTCTTTGACCTGCCTACGTGTCATGACATGTCATTTTTCAATCACTTCGATACGCATAAATTCATTTTTACCCAATACAGAAACCAAATCATACTTCATTACTATATTAACAATAATGCTTTTTAAGTTTTAATTCCTAAAATCTCTTTCGGTACCTAATATGGAGTGCCAATCAATCCGATGAGAAAAGGAGAAAAGGAATGAAAAATTATTCAAGTTATATGTGTTCCTTCCTCGTCCTTCTTCTAATCAAATTTAATCTACGGTGTTCGAATTCTAAGAAAATAAGGGATTAATTAATCGATCAATTTGAACAAGCCATCTTAAATTTAATTTTATCCCGAATCAGTATTATCAAAGGAGTACTTAAGCCGTGAAGCAAGATACAAAACATGTTAGAACACTTTCCCTTGTTTAGAAGGCGCTTTAGAGTAGTCATCACGACTCTAAGACATATTTTTCCTTGCTAAATGAGCGTAATCATAAAGATGAGACATTAAACAATTGGATTTCACTTTATCATAATTTCTTTTTAAATTTCTTTTCATATATTTATTATTCATGCTCAAAATAATTTATCTTGAACTATTCATATATTTGTATTTTTTCTCATTTGCACTTTTCTTCACTAAAACTCATGCTTTATTGCGAGCTCAAAGCTCCAACGGACGTTAACGTTTTTTTGCGCTTCCTGAATGAGAGAATTAAGGTAGGTATAATTGACCTGGATTTCTTGAATGTAATAATGCTTTTATCACATCAACATAATTTAATATGTTAATTATCTTTTATTTTAAACCACAAATAAATTATACATTAAAAAAATTACTTATAATTATGTAAAAAAAGGAAACGAGTGAAAACAAAAAAACAAAAATTGGAAACTACATAGAAGCAAGAATTTGACGGTGGACTTTCAACAAATTTGTGAAATCAAGTGTCAACCACTACCGACAGTACTACACCCATTAAAAAAATATGAATCCAATTGAAGAATTTACTGTAACACCTTCAAAATCTACATTGACTAAAGAAAGTGGATCTAAAGTATCAGTACTATAGTAAAATTAAATACCCATTTTAGCTTACATCTTATCAATGTGAAAAAACCCAGTTATAATACCCATTATAGTAGATCCATTTTCTTCTATAGATCTCAGTTTCAATTGCCTTCAGCTAAAGAGAAAACTAAAAAAAGGAAAAAAAAAAAATGGCAAGGCAATCTGGGACATGTTTAAGATGTTGTTTAGTAATTTTTGCTGTAGTTTCAGCTCTTTGTGTATCTGGTCCTGCTATTTATTGGAAATTTAAGAAGGGTTTAAGGTTAAAAGCTGCTCAATCTTGTTTGCCTTGTAAATGTGATTGTTCTCCTCCACTTTCACTTCTTGAAGTTGCTCCTGGTATGTGATATTTCAGCTTGTTTTAGATCCAAGATCCTATTTTTATGCATTACTTTATGAAAAAAGATCCTGTTTTTATATGTTTTTATTCAGTTTCCTTTTCTGGGTTTTCCTTATTTGATTCATTATTTTGTTTGGTGTTAGTTTTGTTGTATGTTTTGAGGGTCAAGTTTGAGGATCTTGTCTTTGGTGTGTTTCTCATGTTGAGGTTGGATTGAGGGTTATGAATTTAAGTTTTATGCACTGATAGTGTATAGATTTTTTGATAGTGAATATTAACGTGTGATAGCTAGTTACGGTAAACCTGTAATTAACTAATAAGTGATCTGATTGTGTAAATATGTTTTACATTGTCGGTGCATAAAACTTAAACTCTTTATTATAATTTATAGATTGAGGGGAGATATTTGGTTGCGTGTTAAAGATTTATTAGGTATCTTCTTAATTATCCTGTTCACTGTTTTCTTTTGATGCAAACAAACTGTTCTTTGGTTGCAAGTTTAACACATTGGTTCTTGGTAAGGTAGGATGCCAGTGAGAAGCAGATTGTAGAATTGTTAGTGATTTGGTTGGCCTTATGGCCCTTCTGGTCTATCTCTTTTGTTGCACTGATCGTGTTCAAAAATGTGATTTTTGGTTATGTGAGAGCGAGTAAATAACAAAAGGTCTAAGGAAGTGAACCTGTCTTCAGTATCGGGTTTGGTCGATGTAATCCTTTAAGCTAGGATCGGATGCAGGTTAAAAAATGAAGGTGCATGATGGGGTTTATTCTGCTTTTGCATTTGGGTTAAACCCAGAAAAGCAAAACGGATGAATGAATGCTTTCATTAACAACTTGTTCCCCTCACACCTTATCAAAAACTTCGTCACCTCGCAAAATGTAGGGATGAAGGTCTTGCCTCTAACAAAATCAGACATTATTTAGATAACATAAATGGCCAATCTTATGATTATTGCTCGAGCTTTGTGAAGATTGAGGTCAGATCAAATTTAGTAGAAGCTTAAGTGAAGCTTTGATTGACAGGCTCTGATACCATGTAGGAAAGTAAGTACCTATTTAGCAATTAAGGGAATGTCGCATAGGATATTTTCCCTGAGTTGTTATGCTTATGTAAAGACTTTTGAGCTGTGGTAGGTACTATCACGAAGAGCTCTCAGGTACAGTTTTTCCTTCATGGTTTTGGAATCTGTTGATCAAGCCCCGCTTTAAGTTTCTACTTTTCTGGCCCCATAATTAAGCAAACTATGAAGAAAATGAGAGAAATCTTTCTGTCACACTTAACTTAATGTCTCCTTCTAATTTTAGTGAGACCCTGATTTTCTTAAAAAATAAATGGAGTATTTGGATGAAGTTGGTCCGAGTGAAGCGGTACGGGTATAGATGATTATGCAGACGACACCAACTAGTTTCGGTTTGAGGCATAGTTATTATTGTTGTGGAATTTCAAGAATCTGTCTTTGCTGAAAACTAAGGGCTGAAGAATGTAGGACTTTAGTTATATGCAACATTTAGCTGATGTTCATTAATTGATCCTTATGTTCTTTCCTGAATGCCTTAAGAAGTACGGCGTAAAGCTTCCATTCTAAGTCGTGCTTTTAAAAGAAGTACTATGCAGAGTCTCCGTCCTGGATCCACTTTTCAATGGTTCTTGAGAAGCGGATGTTAATTCTGAAGAAAGTACCAAGCACTGCACCTCCTCATTGGTTCTTTTTTACTGATATATGATAACGAACTATGCACAGAACATGTAATGGGGATATAATGATTGTTCGTAAAGTGGCATTAGTAAGGGAATCCTCTCTTTTTTGCAAGAGACATTCAATTTTGGTACGATGGATAAGATTCTCAATTCAGATCGGCACCAGGATACAATCCGAAAATTCGACCATGGATTCTTAAAATTGGAAGGGATATCTTCCAGTATGAGTGCATCTTGGTAGACCTGATCTGAAATTCATAATCTTAATTTGGTTGGTTAATATGTGCAGTTGTGTTATGAACGATATTGGCCACGAGGCTAAGATGGAGGCAAGTTTGAGAAATCGTAACAGTATGTATGGACCCAGGTAAGAGCATAAGGAGTGTGATTTGTGTAATGGGGATGAGAGATCAGATCCAGGGGGGGGGTGTGAAGAATAGAGCTAATACAACAACCACCTCTCTCACATACAGTGCTATTTATTTATTTCCTGCCCATCACAAATCGCTCCACACTCCACATTCTCCTATCCGAGACCCATCTTGGCTCTTGGTCAACATCGTTCACAACTAGTTGACAAACAAATAATGTCATTGATTTACGCCAAAGATTTTCTAAATTGTGTGTCACTAGGAGTTAGATTGCAAGGGATACTTGCATACTTTCTTGTCTGTATCGCGTCGCAATGTTCTTTTATGCCCTAACTGAGGCTGGAGACCCTAAACGACATTTATGTAGAGAAGACATTATTAGAAAGTTTTTGGCACCTTTTCTACTGCGTTTGTCCTTTCATATTCTTGTATGTTGCAAATGCGATCACTGATGCTTCTGAAACTTAGGCGTATCAAGGAATGTTGTTATTTTTTTCCTAAAGATCTCAGGCTCCACGCTTATGACCCTAATAACTGTTAGCTGCTTAGCCTTCATTGAAAGGTTATGGCTTCTATAGCTGGTCAAGCTGTTAAGCTAAACTGTGTGTGCTGGTTTTGTATATTTTATCTCCTGAAATCCACCCCTTTGATTTAAAAGAAGAAAAAAAAAGGCGAACGGGGAAATGAAAGAAATCCTAATGCTTGTGGTGTTTATTATTTTTCTTTTATCTGGTGAGATCCAGCACGATGGAGAAGTATGATCAGTCCAATGATTTGACATTAGGATTTCATCAATGTTGCATGAGAAATAGAGTGGAAGCGCGGAAACGGAGAATGAATCTTTCTAATTGTTATGATCGTTAGTGATAGGATTATGCACTTGTTTTGATGTGTTATTTCACTCGGACCATCTTCTTGCTCAATCACGATCGCATTCCTCACTCGCTCTCAGTGCAACCTCGAAAAGAATGAAAGGATGGATCCTTCTGCTGACATATTTTGTAGTTAAGCTAGTTGTTTGGATTCCTCCTTCATTTTGAAGTTCACATTGTCTTGGAATATTCTACTGTTCATGTTTTTGCTCTTATGTATTCTTTCTGATAGTTTCTATACAATGTATTTTGGTGAAGTTCTGTGGAACTTTGAGTACCAATTAAGCTAACATTATCTCGCTTTTGGTTTCCTCTTATGCAGGCTTGGCAAACCTTACAATTACAGGTGAGTTACCCTTCCTTCTTCTCCTCAAGAAATCATGTTATTCGCAGTTTCTTAAGAGAACTTGGAATATGTTCTTCCTCTAGTACGGTTATTTAGTGTCATGTGTACCAAAAGGCTATCCTTCTGCTTGTCAGCAACTATGATATTGAGATACATGTGATTGAAAATAGACGAAAATCAGTTTGAGATGTATCTTTAGAATGTTCTCTATAATCAGAGAACAGTACCACTAGATAGCATTTCCTATGTTTATGATATCCCAGTGCATCCTGATGAATACAGAAAATTACATCTCTTACAAATAAGGCTCATAAGATGATAGTGACAAACAATCCTAAATTGATTATCACCTTGGTGATGTATACTTAATCTCCTGAATGATTTCATCGAACCTGCATTTTTCTTTAAAGTTCTGACTAGGAGCTATAAATTTTTGGATCTAAAACCAAGCTATTTTGCTACTTGAACACTGCCAGACTGTAATCCATTCTAGAAAGGGTTAACGAGTTTGTAAAATTAAGCATTTTGTCCTTGGTTTTCAAGATACGAAGACACTGCCTAAATCTTCTCCGCTGCAACTCATTAGCATATTTTGGACCCTTAGATAAGGTTATGAACTATAGCGTGTATAGTGCTTAAACCAGAAAGTCTCAGGAGTGGGAAAGAGAGGAAACCAGATGGAAAAAAGCTTCTTTGGTTTAAGGAACATGCTCGTAGATGCTATATAGGGCACTCCGGTACACGAAGCATCCCGCATTCACGTAGGGTCCGTGGAAGGGCCGCACCCCAAGGGGTGTGATGTAGGCAAAGTACCTTGATGCAAGCATTTAATTCCACGACTCAAACTCTTGATCTATAGGTCACACACAGACAACTTTACCGTTGCTCCAAGGCTCCCCTGCACAGATGCTATATGTAATTTACAAATTACAATGCAAGAAATGTGTTCCGGGCCAGTCGATAAGTTTAGAGAGCCGGTTGTGATTTCCTTTTACCTAGTTCCTTCCATTTTACCATCTATTGCTTATGTTCCTTACCTTTGCAAAAGATTGTTTTTTGCCGAAACCATGACATGCTACATTGTAATGTTTCTTATTGGCATCAGACTGCGGCAAAGATGATCCGGATCTAAAGGAGGAGATGGAGAAACAGTTTGTGGATTTATTATCGGAAGAGCTGAAGTTGCAGGAAGCTGTCGACAAGGAGCACGTCCATCATATGAACATCACCTTTGTGGAGGCAAGAAGGTTAGCTTCTGAGTACCAAAAGGAGGCTGAGAAATGCATTGCTACAACGAAANCGAAACTTGTGAAGTCGGGCGAGAAAGAGCTGTCGTGTTGCTTGCCAAAGAAAAGAAGTTGACGTCCGTTTGGGAGCGTAGAGCGCGCCAAGCTGGTTGGCAAGGAGAATAAAGATTAAAAAAAAAAAAAACTAGTGAATAAGTTTATCTTTAACTGCAGTAGCTCAAATTTTGTTGTCCACTGTTGTAGCTTATGTTAGTTCTATCTCTCTATGAGCACAAAAATGCTCATATTTCTTTATCTGTATGTGTATTTACTTACTCTCCTGTATCTTTTGATCATATGAAATATATACTCTTTACATTATACTTCAGCATTGAATCCAGTTAGAACCCTTTATTGACGTCATTGTGCACTTTTTTAGCCAATTACAAGATTTCTTAGTTAAAGTGAAGTTACACTCCTCGGCTCATCATTTCCATGGTGAAGGAAAGAATGTTGGTATCAATATTTGCCAATATATGTATTATGTAGTTTTTAGCACGTTGAAACTAAGTGGGCGTTTGAACATAAGAATTGTAAAATTCCAAAAAAAAGTGAGAATTTTTTTAAAGTGAAAATGGTATTTGAAAATTAGAGTTGTGTTTGGACATGAATATAATTTTGGGTTTTGTAAGTGATTTAAGTGAAAATTTTGAAAAAATAGCTTTTTGGAGTTTTTCAAATTTTCGAAAAATTTCAAAATTCATCTTCAAGTGAAAATTGAAAATTTTATGGCCAAACACTGATTTAAAAAAAAAAAAAGTAAAAAAATTCTCATGTGCAAACGGGCTCTAAGTTTCTAACGCAAAGCTACTTTCTTTTTGTATTACCTCTTGGAATAATAAAGTAAGGAGAATTATGAGGTTTTAGGTTCAAATTTTAGCGAAAATAAAAAATATTACGTGATATTTTTTAATGTGCCTAAGCCCCAGTTGACAGAGTTATCCGGTACTAAGTTAGAATTATCAATAGAATAGTTTGCACTAAACTGATCAATAGTATAAAATTTAACTCAAATCTGTATTACTCTATGAGCAAGTTACAATTAAACCTCAAAATTTTGCATGGACGGAATTCTATATCCTCTCAAATGAAAACTGTCTACTTATATTAACACCATAAAGCACAAATGGGCAATGTTTTAAAACTTACAGTTTCTTTTTGTATTACCTCAATTTTTATAAGAGAATATAATAATACATTATGATGTTATTTTCCTTCACGTCGCAATATTATATTTCATTAAAAAGGATTACATTTTAAGGGTTGAGAAGACATATTTAGAAATAAATCTTGATAATTTTTTCAAAGCAATAATACATCTTGAGATCACAAAAAAAAAAAAAAAAAAAAACTAAGTGTGGTTATTCCCACACCGGCCTATACAAACTGAGAATGAGCAAATGCTGTACAATAAAATATGGGCTGGGCTGACTGAGAAACATACTTACCTGGACGGGGTCAATGGGCGATCAATAAGACCCATGGCCTAGGCTAGTGACCTCCATTGCACTTAGGAGGGGTGCTAACCTAAGGTCGGCTCAAGTGGTCGAGCCTACGTCATAATTTGTGGTAGTGGGGGCCTGCGTTCGCGCGGCCTCTGCCCAATCCTAAGTTCAAACGTTTGGGCCTTGTGCCCTATTCCAGCTCGAGAGCGGCCCAAGTGAAAATAATGTTCCTCCAGTTCTTTTTTGTTCAGTTGGAAAATTGAGTCTTCTACGTATTAGATTTTTATGGAAAATATTGTCTTTCCAAAATCGATAAATTTCTTGGGATGAGCCTAAGTAAAGGACAATTAGTTGTTTGGTTGGTACGGTACAATATTTAGATAAAAGAATATTAACTAGTGCATAAAAAGATAGAATGTAATGTTCTAAATTAAAGTACTTAAAAGTACAAAACTAAAAATATTTGCCAAAACTAGCAAATATCAACCTGGAGAGCAAAAACTGTACATAAAAGAATAAATTTGATCATTAGAAATGTCTTTTTACTTGCTTAGAGTTAATTGATGAACTTACAAAATAAAAGAAAGTACAATTTTAGATTTTTGTATTTATGTTATAATTAATAATATGTGTATTGTGTAATATAATATATATTTCAGTAGAGTACTAGTGTTTCGGTATTTCATTTTAAAATACCGAATACCATACCTAATGCCAATATTTTTTAAATGTAAACCAAATACCACACCAAATACCAAAATTTTCGATTTCGGTATGGTAATTCGTATTTACCAAATTATGCACAGCCTTAGTTCCTATGGCACGCTCCCTTTCTTTTGGTATCTTTAGCTTGGAACCTAATCCTTGAAATAAATACACCCCTTAATGAAAATCATGGTGCTGTCTCAAGCCAAAGCTACTCATAGTGTTTTTTGGCTGTGATTATTTTTGCTCCAATCAAGCTACGTTCGTAAGGTGAAACGGATTGGGTATTATGGGTTGGAATTTGTAAGATGAAACAGGTAACTAGTTGTGTCAAATTTATTCTCGTAATAGTTCTTGTTAGTTGTAGGAAAATTTTCATAAAACACTATCTTTACTAGTAATTAGTCATTTATAGATACCATTTGCTATATTACGGTTATAGATACCTTTTATGTGGTTATAAGATGTATTTGATGTATTTAAGCTATTGTATTCATGAATACAGTAGAAAAATAGGCGTGAATCAGGGAAGTCCAGCTAATCAGTTGTTGTATTCGAGTGTATTTGACTGTATTCATGAAGTGAAACATGAGATTACAGCTGGACAAATTATTGTATTCAACTGTATTTACGGCGTGAAATAGGGGATGCCACTGTTTTTAAAAGGGAAAGTGAATCAATTAACATAATAGACTCCTAATATAACTCAACAAACTCAATTATAACACACAAATTTTGTATTTTCAGTTATAAAAAAGATTCTCAACCGAAAAATACCCCAAAAATGTAGCAATCTTTAGAGAAATTATATAATACATATGAATACATAAATTATATTAATTAAAAAAAACTTATGAAAACCTTCATGGCATATAGCGAGACAGTGAATACAATGAAATACATAGAATACAGCGGGATACATTGAAATACAATGAGAAAAAAAAACAGTGAATACAATGAAATACATGAAATACAACGAGATACATTGAATTACAATGAAAAAAAAAAAACAATGAATACAATGAAATACATGAAAATACATTGACATATATTAACAAAAAATCATTCTACAACATCCATATCTCAATTTTTCCAATTGGCAGGGACGGTATTCACGATATCATAGATCCGCCCTCTTTCCACCCCTAATCTCCGTGCAGCATCATCAAGCCCTATGGTTTCAATACCTTCCCGATTATATAAGCTCAAAAAATTGAAACATAGGAGACCGAGAGACTTCTGTTTACGACAATAAGTAGATGTAGAATCTTCTGAAGGATCTGAAGCTAACGATATAATTGTTTCCTTTGAGGAAATTGATTCAACTGTGCGTGTGCGTGTATGGCCAAACTTTGTAAGGATTCTGAAATGGAATCGATATAAAAGAGAGAGAAAACTCCTCTCAAAGTAGACAGAGAAGAGGAAGAGTATCGGAAATTTTAATGGGATGGGGAAGAGAATAGGATGTATCAAAGTAGAGAGAGAAAGAAAATATTGTAACTGATTAGCGTATTTAGTGGCTTAGGGCTAGGAGGATTAAATATTTTGCTATAAACCTTAAAAGGTATCTATAGAACATAATTTTTTTAAATGGTATTTATTTAAAATAAATAAGGTGTTAACCTTTGCTATAGAAGTTAAAAATTCCTTAGTTGTACCACTCTCTATGGGCTCAAAGTGGCTCATTTATGTGCCAAAATTTCACGGTATAACCAGTTTTCGGACTGGTCAATCAAAAATAGCCAGCGTTTACCAAGTCAATGGAAAATAGCCACCGTTTTGCTGCAATAGAGACCGGTCCAGCATAATATACTGGAGTTTCGGTGCACTTGTGTATGAACTCCAGCATATTATGCTGGACCGGTATACTTTGCTGGCTCTAGTACAATATACTAGAGACTGGAGCACTGGTGCTCCAAACTCCAGTATATTATATTGGACCATTATACTTGCTAGAACTCCAGTATATTATGCTTGAGTTCTAGTGTATTTATGCTGGAACTCCATCATATTATGCTGGAGTTCCAGCATACTATCTTGGAACTCCAGTATAATATGTTGGAGTTCAAGTATACTTATGCTGGAACTCCAGCATAATATACTGGAGTATTTTTCGGGTTTTGAACATTGTTTTCGTTCATATTTATCTTTACATAAAAAGTGGCTAAATTTCGATTACTTTTGAAATTGGGCTATTTTTGAACGACCAGTTATAAATCTGGCTATTTTTAAAAATCACACCATTTATGTTACTCCTTCAATACATGTAAACATTATTAAGTTGATTCTTATATTGTTAAACCACGTGTATGTTAGTGCAAATGTTAGGTTCTTGGGTAATTTTCTCTGATATATCTCCATTCGTTTATGTTTGCTAGTATTTATTATGGTTTAGAAAATTGACGGTCGTTCATACACCATTTATCACATCCAGTAAAATATAATAGTCTAATTTGTTTGGATTTTTTTTATTGTTATAACGAATTGCTATTACAGAAAACATATATTATAATATAGAGAGGTCTAATTATATTATGTATTCTCACTTTGATTTTTTAACCACTATAGTTAAATTACTTGGCTTGGCATAAATATTGGGGGGGGGGGGGGGGGTTGGGTGGTGGTGGTGGTATATATTTACCATGGTAGAACAGTATTTCAGATCATATTTTTTTTTGGGCTGATATTTCTCTTGTCCATTAAATCAACGTAAAAATTATAAGCTTTGCATAAGGTGAGAAGAATTAGTTCTTTTCCCTGCGGGTAAGCAAAATGCGCATATATGAAACATAAAGTCTCCCATATCGAAAGCTAACAAAAGCCAGAAAGGAGAAAACTGATATAAAATCCGAAGGCAATGCATAAGATAAAGTATACCTTTCTCGGCCTTTTGGCTAAGATCAAGTGTAGTATCTGTTCTTATCAGTTTAATATCTGATATGTGAGTCATCGACTCACACGATATTAACTCAATTTTTTAAGGGGGAGAGTCCATTAAAGTAGCTTGCTACTTGGGCTCTCAAGCGTCGCCCATGCGTTGCACTACTGCAAGGGCCTGGCGAACCCTACCAAATCAGATCTAAATTTCTGCACTGGCCTAGATTTTGCTTTAGTATATATTTTAGCACTTAGATTATTCGATAGAATACAAATATGTTACCGACTCAAAGTAATATGCTCAATTCATGTAAATGAATACTAAGGATAT